TTTAAGATTTTTATGCCTCAATTTTCTCATTTGTAAGATGTGGATAATAAACCTTATCTGCCTTAGAAAGGGCTGAGTAAGGACCAATTCATTAACATTTGTTATGTGCTTGCTATTACTGTGATGAGAAACTTCATTAGGACCTAGATAAAGAGCTATTAGCATGCAATCAGATTTTATTTTAATGGTGGTTAATGCAGAGGAGATCTGACACCTAGACAACACTGCAGGAGCTTTTAAATTATATGTGAAGAGACAAAGAATGAGAAGACATATTTAATCATTTAAAACAGAACGCTGTTCAGTGTAGAACAACAGTGGGGGAAAAGTGCATACAGGGGGTGGAGATAGGAACACAAGTTTTCCTGTTTTCCTCTTATGAGAAGAAAAGAAACTTGAGGTCTGTGGCACAAATGAAATAAAATTAATTTAACTGTATATTATCTGGTGATACTCTTACCCAGGTTTAGTCTCAATGCTCTGTTCTGTGGCTGAATTTTGATATAATACGGTTTCCTTAAAGTTCCTTTTTTTGTCTTTCTCTAAGAATCCACTTGATCTCAGGCTGGTATGGGTACAACTTACCTTGATATATTCATATAGACAAGGGCACTTGTACACACCACAGATCTTAGTCCTCATTAAATTAAATAGTTTTATAAAATTTAAACTTGTTTATTTTGGAGCATTGCATCTGTGTTTGCATGCACTAGATTTTCAAATGAATTAAGCCTCAGAGCATTGCATCTGTGTTTACACGCACTAGGTTTTCGAACAAATTAGACCCAGTCCCTAGCCGGCACTCCAGGAGAGCAGAATGGCTCTGCACTGCCCCCCCGACCCCAGCATCCTTCCCAGCCCATGCCCATGCCCTGGCAAGCAGCTGTGGAAGCAAAGTGCCGGCAAACTAAAACAAGGAGAAAAAAAAAAAAAAAAAGCAGAAGCAATTCGAAAACAAAAGCAATTGGAAGGGGTGAACTACAAAAAAGTCGCAGCGCCATCTGGTGGACAAAGGGCCTCATTACATGACTTTGAGTATCTCTGTGTCTGCACGCAACAACTCTATGGATGCAATGCTTTAATTCATAGTTGGTAAGGTCGGAAGGGACCTGAGCAGATCATCAAGCCTGACCACCTGCAATGGCAGGAAAGTATACTGGGGTCAAACGACCCGGCAAGGTGTTCATCCAGCCTCTTTTTAAAGACCCCCAGGGTAGGACCCAGCACCACTTCTCTTGGAAGTTGGTTCCAGATCCTAGCTGCCCTGACACTGAAGTAGCTCCACCTGAATCTATCCTCTGCCAGCTTGTGACCGTTATGTCTTGTCACTCCTGGTAGTGCTTGGGGGGAACAGGGACTCTCCCAATGCCTGCTGGTCCCCCTTGACTAGTTCGTAAACGGGCACTAGATCCCCCCTCAGCTTTCTCTTGTGGAGGCTGAACAGGTTCAGGTCCCTTAGCCTCTCCTCGTAGGGCCTGCCCTGCTGACCCCTGATCATGCGAGTGGTGCTCCTCTGGACCCTCTCCATGTTGTCCACATCCCTCCTGAAATGCGGCACCCAGAACTGGATGCAGTACTCCAACTGTGGCCTGACCAGTGTTGCATAGAGGGGGAGGATCACCTCCTTGGACCTGCTTGATATGAATCTGTGGATGCATGACAAGGTACGATTGGCCTTCCTGACCGTGTCCTCACACTGTCGGCCCACGTTCATTTTGGTATCAATAATGACTCCAAGATCCTTTTCTCCCTCTGCACTGACGAGAATGGAGTTCCCCAGCCTGTAGGTCTGTTGCTGGTTCTTCCTCCCCAGGTGCAGCACCTTGCACTTGCCAGTGTTGAAACCCATCCTGTTCTCATCTGCCCACCCCTGTAACCTGTCCAGGTCTGATTGCAGCCTAGTCCTCCCTTCTAGTGTGCCCACTTCTCCCCATATCTTAGCGTCATCTGCAAATTTGAACAGGGTACTTTTTACCCCCTCGTCCAAGTCGCTGATGAAGATGTTGAACAGCGCGGGCCTGAGGACTGACCCCTGCGGAACCCCACTGCCCACATCCCTCCAGGTCGAATAAGACCCATCCACCACCACTCTCTGGGTGCGGCCCTCCAGCCAATTAGTGACCCATCTGACTGTGTAGGTATCAATGCCACAGACTCCTAGTTTTTTAATGAGAATGGGGTGAGAGACGGTGTCGAAGGACTTCCTAAAGTCCAGAAAGATTATATCTACCGTCCTGCATCCAAGGATTTTGTGACCTGGTCATAGAAGGCCACCAGGTTGGTCTGACAGGACCTGCCTCTAATGAACCCATGTTGGTTGCCCCTAACCATAAGCCCCTAAGCCCCTGCTGGCCCCTCACAGACATGCGCCAGGATAATTCTCTCAAAAAGCTTACCCAGGGCCGAGGTAAGACTAACAGACCTATGGTTTCCTGGGTCCAACTTCCTCCCTTTTTTGAAAACGGGAACCACATTGGCCCTTTTCCAGTCCTCTGGCACATTGAGAGGCGAGCCAAACTAAACTATGTCTGAGGAGTTTTAGTTTAATGTGCCTGAACGACTTTTAAAGCATCCGGAAAACCCACTTGTGCAAACAAACAGTAACGCAGTTGCAGCGCAAGAAAGGACAAAAGACATGGAGTGTACAAAGGCCCCAATTCTCTAGGAAGAGACAGAGGAGGATTAAGACATACTTGAGCTGTAGCCCATGATCTGAAGCACAGGGCAGAAAGAGACCTCCAAAAGGTACTACCAAGATTCTGATAGCTTTCAGGAGCAGGGAGAAGCTGCCTCCTGGAAGAGTCTTACAGAATGCAACTGGAATGGATACTGGCATGGTGAATGTTTTAGAAAAGGGGTTCCCACCCTTTTTAGATCATGGACCAGCAACCTGTGGACCAGAAGTGACTGCAGACTGGCAAACTGTGGACCAGAAGTGATCCTGTGATGCGGCAGCCAACCCTTTTTATATACCACTCCACAGTGCGCTGGTCACTTCCAGACTTCTGGTCCTACAGCCAATCCTCCTTCAGACCAGCAGCTAACCCTCCATGGCCCAGTACTGAGCCGTGGCCTAGGGGTTGGGAACCTCTGTTTTAGGAGACACTCAGATACCTGAGTTAGCTCAACACATTTTATTTGCCTGAGAAGTCAACTGCCTAAATCCGACTGAAGCTTAAATTAAGCCATGGTGCTAGATTCTTCTTATTATAACTGTACATATAAGGGATATTAGACTGCATTTACTGAACATAGTTTGCATCTCTACCACCACACTTTTTAGCTCTTGTCCCCCACTTCGGCAGCTTCACTTGTACTAGAAGCTTTTGTACAGACAGGACTCAGGTGATTTTACCACTACAGTCCCTAACCCTACAAAGGCAAATAATATATCCAAAATCAGCTCCTTTCTGACAGAACTAATGGAACAGCCTGTTTCTTTTACCCTGTTTTTTCTCATCAGGATGAAGTATCAAAACCAATTTGTATTCATACTTCCCAAGAAACCTATATTGGAATAACTACATTAAAATACAGTGTGAAGCAATGTGAGGAAAGTTTGACAGGGATTAACAAATGAAGGAATATTAACAGCAACTTTTTAAATGAAAGAACTGTGGTCTAAGAAGACATGTAACGATCAGGAGTGATAAGGCTGCATTAGAACCCAGTCTGAGAATATCCTCATTCATTTTTCCCCTCTATAAAAGGAGGTGGGGGGAGGGGGGGAAGGAAATCATAAGTATGATGCACTCCAGAAACCATTTTGGTTTATCCATTGTTTAGTAGTAATGAAACTGTGCCACCTGCTGGACTTCTATCCAAACTGAATACAGTATATTACAGAATTGATTAACATCAATACTTCTATCTTGTCTTTTTGTTTTATATCAGGCGTGTCAAACTCATCTGGCCCTGCAGATAAGTGATGCAAGGATGGTCCTTGAGACAGATGAATGACATGTGGCTGGCCCCACAGGCCAGACTGGGCCCATGAACCTGCTCCTACCCCACATACCAGAACCAGTGCACATGGTGTTTGCTCCAGCTAGTCTGGAACTGCATAGTAGATGGTATCTGTGGAGGGCTGGTCCAAGTCACAGGCTGCATGTGGTGCCCACTCCAACTAGTCTGGGATCCCCACTCCCTGTCCTGGAGCAGCCATGGTGGGCACCTGCTATCTGTAGTGCACGTCCTGGACCAGCCAGGGTGGGCACCGCATGTCACACACATCACAGACTGGCTGGGGTAGGTGCAGTGTGCAATGTACATTCTGAGTCCTGCATACAGGGCCAGTCCAGTGTATACCACATGTGGTGTGTGAGTCAACTCTGTACCAAATTGCAGCATCAGGGTTTGGATGATGGGGCTCCATGGACTGGGCTGCATCTTTGACACCTCTGATTTATATTATTTCGATACGTACTCAGCCCCAAGAACTAGCTTCTCATACCCGTTTTCCTTTTATGGGCCCCTGAAGGATAAAAATCCATTGCAAAATGTTGTATGATTACAGGAGAGTATCCAGTGTTGGACATCTCCCTATATTTGAATTCACCTATAATTTTTGACTTAACAGCAATCTACAAAAGAAAAATGTAGAAATCTGCTCCCTTTTTGTTTCTCTAGGATATAAAGAGAGTGTTTTTGGTTGGCTGACTTTTTACAAGACAGAGAAGCATTTTCTTATTTATTTAAAATGTTGAAAACTGAAATTCTGTCCAGTCTAGAAGAGTTTACAATGGCTGGAGAATTAGTTAAATTATGACATCATAAGAGGCATGCAACTAAGTAGCTGAGGACAGACGGAATTACATGCATTTTGTTAATACCTATTATACTTCAATGACTGATTTACATTTTGGAGAAAAGGCCTCAACGGGACATGAGAAAAATAAAGTATATGCCTAAATGTTTTCAGGATACTGTCTCAAAGTTGCTTTTGTACACACATTTATTCAAAAACTCTTAAAGATGAAAAAGTACTAGTATTTAATTCACATCACACTTCTGTATATTTAAAAATGCCCACAAAACCATAAATTTTAAAGCCAGGAAAGGGAGCATTATGATCATCTAGGGGTCCAACCTTTTTGGCAGGCTTGCTGCAAATTATTTCCATGCCTTTCCCAAGTGCCACACCAAGCCCAGCCCTTCCCCTGCCTGATGTGCTGCTCCCAGCCCTGTGTTCCCCATCTGATCTGCTGCTCTGCTTTCTGCCCCTTGTGGCAGAACAGTAGGGGTGCTACTACACTGAGCCACCCGCCCCACTGTGCCCAACCAAAAACCACACTTTGGGTGCCTCCCCAGGGGCGCCTACTTCTAGCCCTCCCCCTTCCTGGAACACACCTGCAAGCCTGTGGTAACGCTGCCACCACCCAGGCCTTGGTCTCCATTAGGGCTCTGTGCCACCTGGGGTACACAGACCCTGCTAACCTGGGGGGGTGCTTAGCCCACAAGTAATATTTCTGGGTGCTTCTTATAGCTTGAAGCCTCCCAGAGTAATCTTAGGTGTGTTTGAGGTAGTTAATAAACAGCCAAGCTCTTTTGGGAGCGAAAAAGCATCTCACACACAGATCCTAATTTCTGGCTAGATTCCAAGTTTTTACTTACCTATCAGCTTCAGGCAGCTACCTGAGGTACAAAGCTTGTCTGTGTTCCAAGATGCCTGCTTGAAGAGGGAGTACCCCCAAGACCAGGTGACCTGACCTTTAAATAACTTTTCTGAACTCATCACCTGGCTCCAGTCAGAAACAAGCCTTATTTGATGCAGACCAATCCTTTTAAAAGTCATCAGCATCCCCGGGTAGGCCTCCTGGCGGGAACCCAGGACAAAGGACCTGGACACAGGAAGGTGGGATGGGAGGAGGTCCTCTCCAGCCCAGTTGCCCAGGTGACTATAATGACCTAACAACACACAGTTAGAAAGCAGGAGGGGGTGAGCAGACTATCCCACTGAGGGCAGGGAGAGATATCTTCAGACCCTTACTCTGTGGTCACCGCCTGATCTCTTCCTCTGCTTTCTGCCTTATTGGCTGCTGTGCTGCTTTGTGCCCTCCCTGATCTGCTGCATGCCACACACAGAGGCTGTCCATGCCACTTGTAGGCATGTGACCCCTCCTCTAGACAAACACATTTTCACCCAACAATTCCTGAATCAGCCCTAAAACGTTCGACTGAGCTACAACATATATTTAGTATAGCCAATCTAGGCTGAAAGGGGCCAATTCCCCATCAAGTGACTGAGAATCCAGCACCTCCCTAGCTAAGCCATTCCAGCACTTTGTCGAGTCATAGAAAAAAGGGCTGGGGGACCTCAGGTCACCAAATCCACTCCTATGCTCAAACCTAAACCTGTCTAAACCATCTCAGCCAAGCATATCTAACATGCACTTAAAACTTCTACTGATGGATATTCCACAGCCTCTCTAGATAATCTCACTGTTAAAATTTGCTGTTTAGTTTGGGTCTGAATTTGTCAAGATACAGACATTATGTCTTGTTATTCCTTTGTCTGCTGGACTAAAGAACAATCTGTCTGTTATCAGAAATCTTCCACTATAATAGGGACCCAACCTTTGTAACTATGATTGGCGACAAGCACCAGAGTTTGAAAGTCCAGAGCTCCAATGGTACACAACTAGCAGCTAAGTAGGTAACGACTGCAGCAGAACTGAGCACCCTGCTGGTGTGGTCAAAAGAAAATCCCTACCGCTGCTGAGAGAGGGGCAGGGCAGGTAACCAAAAGGGGAAGGAGTAAAGGACCACATACACCTGGCTCCTGGGATGGAACCTCAAACTGGTCCTTGTAAGCTCAGAAAAGGGACTCTGTAGATCCTGGAGAGAAGGAAGCTCTGCAGGGAATCTCACAGACAAACAAATTGATTTCTATTTCATGTTTATTTAAGTTGCTGTTTAGGCCAGGAGGCCTGGGAGTGGTTGAAAGGGAGCTAGGAGACCACTGAAGATGCTCAGTGAATAGGCATGGATTATGTTACTGACTTAGGCAGAGGGCTATCAGTGGTCCGCCACAGGCCCAGAAGCTTGGGATGCAGGGCACAGTGAGGCGCCTACACACACACTGTTTTTTGGAGACAGCTTTTTAAATGCATACCAATTTACCACCAAGGTGTGGCAGGTGAGGACAGGATAGCATCCCAGAAAAGCAGAATGAGAGATAGGACTAGTATGGCTGCAAAAAGGGGGCTCCACAGCCACCCATAGAGGGCAGGTCCTGTTATATCACCCACGTAGGTACTCTGAACTGACCGATTTGCCTGTTAATTTTTTTTCCTGGAAAAACTAAATAAATAGAACATCTTTATACATCATATACATATTCAAATAAACTAACATTATAAAAGAGTTGAGTGGATTGCTAAGTCCATCCATTCCAAGACACCATGAATTTAGCTAATTTCCTACACAGACACTTGGCTAGGATGGTGTAGTCAGGAATGAATCTGCCTAGAGCAGGTGGCTGGACTAAACCTCGTAAGGTCCTTTCCAGCCCTACTTTCTTATGATCTTGTAAGAACTGATCAGCCACCATCACTTCAAACAACTCCTAATTATTGTTCAACACTTACTGTTGAACCTGTTATATTTTTAAGAGATGCTACAGACAGAGTGAGCTAACATTTTGCTGAAATGTAGTCATTTGCATCTAAAAACATTTATTGGATGGAATTTAAACTCATCAGTTCCAAGTCCACCACCACTCATGCAAAATGGATTTTGATTTCAGTGTACCTCATGCCCAATAGGATTGCCAGTATGCAGTCCTTATCCAGGCAAGTCTATACGACTACGGCGAGCACATCTACATGAGAGGCCTTAATGCTCAGTGGACTGTTCTATACCACATTACTGCATCACAGCAAAAACCGTGCTAATGTACAGTTGAAGTAGCCTAGTACGCATTAAGCATCACAAAAAAGTTCTCCTTTGCTACTGCACATTAGAGCAGCTATTGTACCTTTATCTAGTACCCGTGTGTTAATGAACATGTAGACATGCCCAGTATTGCCAGTGCTGCACATTCATAAATTGTGAATCAAGCCCCCAAAATCATCAGATCCTTTAAAAAATTTCTTGTCATTTTAAACCAAAATGAAGGCAACCAGAGAGGCCACTAACTTATGCTCTACTACAATTCCTTCTGAAGTCACCAATTAGAAGAGCAAGGGGACAGTGTGGGCTGGCCATGTTTTTCCACCCCACTAGCATATCAGGTGGCTATGAGACAGAAAGAAATCCAGCATAAGGCCACTAGTTCTGTGTTGTGTGAACCCCCTCCTATGACAGATTCAGTCAAGGTTGTTTCTGTCCTCTTTTCTTCCTTTACACCACACCTGAGCAGTACAGTCAGAGTCTAACCTGGCGCTTACAGGAGGGTCTGGTGTTTTCAGAGAGAATACTACTCTCATCCCCTGTGAAGGAGCTCAGTATATAGTACTGACAAGGCAACTAATTGTTCCAGATATTTCAGAACAATCCTGAACTTCAAGGCTGTTTCTCTGAAAACTCCTGAAAATTAGACATTCCTCCCAGACTTGAAAAACTGGTCTGACTGGTGCCAGGAAGCATCCTGGTCAGTTAGCAAACTGTGAGATTGCCCCAAAATTCACTATCCTCAGTCATTTTCAAAGCTGAAATCAGCCCTCTGTGGCACCTCAAGGGCCATATCCCAGACTTTGCTCCCTAAAAGTTACTCTCACTTTTAAGCAGTGAACATTTTCGAATGGGGGTAGAAAAGGCTGCAGTCTTTACTCTACTCCAAATAAGTGCCACAGAAGGACTAGTTTACCAGAGAGCTAACCAACCTGACAACAACAGACATACTTCAAAATAAAGTTTAAAATGCACACAAAAAGTTGAATTTTGGCATAATACAAAACTACTCCACAGAGTTGACTAACACTATCTTTAGGACTATGAACATGTCCTTCTGACACAATCACCATGCTACTATGCACACACCAATGTTAAACAAAGGCAGCCACATAGACTGGGGGCGAGGGGAGAGGAAACTAACATTTTCAACAATGTAAAAGAAAGAAATTGGCAACAAAACAGTCTTCATCCATCATTGATAACATAATACTAAGTGAACAAGTCCAAGACAACAGAAACAGTACTAGTGTTTTCTGTCAAAGGACCCATAATAAATGACCTACCCAAATAAACAAACAAGGTCAAAATCTTAACTTACCTAGGGAGTCTGTTTTATTTTCTACTGTTTCATTCACCTTTCTTGCAACTCTGGCTACAGCTTCTCCCATTCTTTTCTGCATGCAGACGACCTGTCCCAAAAGGGAAGCTCTTCCACAGGAGAAACTGTGACTGAAGAGATAAGAACAGTAAGGTTCCAGTATTCTAACAGTTCACAAAAAGCAAATGCCAGGACAAGTGCTCCCCAAATTTGAGAAAGTAGTAAGATACTTACTTTAAAAGAATGAGGGCTCCCAACTGATAAAGGAGAAGCTAGGTTCATTACAGCAGCCTGCCCTCACTGGTACAAAATGTAGAAACTGCTAGGATGTGAATTGCTACAAAGGCTGACACTGCAATTAAGAGTTCATTTAAATTGTATGGGATAGATTCATCTTGAGATGCAGGCATTGGCTATGAGCAGCATCTGTGAGACCACAGTGTACAGTGATAGCTCTGTTGTTGGACCTAGCCATGGAAGCTAAGATTTTAATCAAGAAATAGGTTCAGATGGAGGCTAGCCATTTCTCTCTCTCCTGGATACTTACATGGTAGCCTTTACCACGATACCCCTCCCCCCCAGTGCCTCAATCTTTAACACAGTTACTCTTACAACATACCTGTGAGACAGAGAAGCAAAGTGACTTGCACATGATCAGTCATTCAATTTAAGAAAGAACAGGGATGCAAAAACCAGCCCTATCACTGCAAGAAGAAATGTTCAGTGTCTGTTTGTTTTTAGAGTCATAGATTCATAGTCAGAAGGGACCTCAGTGGGCTATCTAGTCTGACCCCTTGCCCCTGGCAGGCAAGAAAAGAGTCACCAACCCTGGGGTCATGTGATCCCAGCCAGGTTCCTGTCCAGTCCCTTCTTGAAGACCCCCAAGGGTGGGGCGAGCACCACATCCCTTGGGAGCCCATTCCAGATTCTAGCAACCCTGACCGTGAAGAACTTTTTCCTAATGTCCAGCCTAAACCTTCTCTCTAGTAGCTTATGGCCATTGTTCCTTGTCAATCCAGGGGGTGCCCTGGTGAACAGATCGTCGTCTGCTTCATGTTGTTCTCCCCTTATGAATCTCTATATCACCACAAGATCCCCTCTCAGCCTTCCCTTGGAGAGGCTGAAGAGGTTAAGGTCCCTTGGCCTTCCCTCGTAGGGCCTTCCCTGCAGACCTCTAATCAGGCAAGTGGCTCTTCTTTGGACCCTCTCCAGGTTGCCCACATCCCACTTGAACTACAGTGTCCAGAACTGGACACAGTACTCCAGCTGTGGTCTGACCAGCACCGCATAGAGAGGGAGAATCACTTCCCTGGACCTGTTTGTGAAGCACCAACAGATGCACGACAAGGTACGATTGGCTCTGCCAACTGCTTCATCACATTGGCGACTCGTGTTCATCCTGGAGTCAAAAGCGACTCCAAGATCTTTTTCTGCCTCAGTGGAGCTGAGAAGGTTGCCCCCCAGCCTGTAGGTATGATGGCAGTTCTTCTTCCCTAGATGAAGCACCTTGCACTTGTCCTTATTGAATTGCATCCTATTGCTCTCTGCCCACTTCCCCAACCTGTCTAGGTCAGCCTGGATCTGGTTCTTCCTCTCCAGGGTGTTAGCTGCACCGCATAATTTTGTGTCATCCGCGAATTTGGACAGAATGCTTCCCACCCCCTCATCCAGATCACTGATGAACATGTTGAACAGCACTGGCCCCAGAACTGAGCCCTGAGGGACTCCACTGCCCACATCTTACCAGGTTGACACTGACCCATCCGCTACCACACTCTGAGTGCGACCCTTGAGCCAATTTGCTACCCAGTCTACTGTATAATCATCCAAGGCAAATCCCCTCAGTTTATTTATAAGGATGGTATGGGATACATTGTCAAAGGCCTTCTTGAAGTCCAGATAGATAACATCCACCTCGACACCTGCATCAAAACAATTGGTGGCCTTGTTGTAAAAGGAAACTAGGTTAGTCAGGCAGGACCTGCCTGCTAAAAGCCCATGTTGATTACCCATCTGCATCACATTAGCCAGCAGGCTCCCACAGATATGCTCCTTTATCATTTTTTCTAGGATTTTCCCAGGGATAGAGGTAAGGCTGACTGGTCTATAGTTCCCCAGGTTCTCCTTCCTCCCCTTCTTAAAGATTGGGATTACGTTAGCCCTCTTCCAATCCTCTGGAACCTGACCCAAGCACCATGAGTGCTCATATATCCTTGCCAGTGGTTCAGCTATGACACTCGCTAATTAGAGTCCTTCTTGTCCTGGTGATTTGAATATTTCCAGTCCCTCCGAGTGTCTTTTTACCGTGTCAGCACTGACCGTCGGTCGGCTGATGTTCCCTTTGTTGGTGTCCATGATATATGTTGAGGGTTCATCTAGATTCCCATTTAAGAAGACAGAGGCAAATAACTAATTGAAGAGCTCTGCCTTGTCCCTAATATCCATCACTAAGCCCCCCTGCCTGTCCTGTATGGGTCCTATGCTACCCCGCACCCTCTTTTTGCTCCCAACATACCTAAAGAAGGACTTTTTATTGTCCTTAATCCCTGACACTAGCCTGAGTTCTAGACTTGCCTTGGTCTTCCTAACCAACTCCTTGCAGGTGCAGGCCAAAGAAGTATACTCCTCTTTGCTAGCTATCCCCTGCTTCCACTTCCTGTACGCCTCTTTTTTTGCCCTTTAGGTATCTTGGATGCCCCTGGTTAGCCAAAGGGGCTTCCTGACCCCCTTGCCCCTTTTCCTCTGCCATAGGATTGACTCGCTCTGAGCCCAAAGAATTATTTCCTTGAGGAAACACCCGTGCCCTGATGGGTATAATGCCCACCCTTCACTGGATAGCAAATTTTATCATTTGGTCATCACTGTCCCCTAAGTTGCCTTGAATCCGCAGGTCCCCCACCAGGTCATCCCCTGTGGCCAACACCAAGTCAAGCAAGGCATTGCCCCTGGTGGGACACCTTATCTCCTGTGTTAGGGGGAGGTCCTGAATACAGGATAAGAACCTGCGAGAGCAGTTAGATCTAGCTGACTTCTCCTCCCAGCATCTGTCTGGGTAGTTAAGGTCCCCCATGACTACCATATCTCTAGACCTCATATGATCTAGAGATATGGTAGTTTTGTTATAGATCAGGATACAATATGCTCTCTTTTCAAAACCTACTGCTACCTAACTAGGGACTTGAACCCTGGACCCTCAGATTAAAAGTCTGATGCTCAACCAACTGGGTAGCTACCCAGGCTCCTTCATTCTGTAACCACAATACAGTGTACTCTCTTCAACAGCATAGCCTGGGGACTGAAAAAAAATGTTCTTCCTTATCCAAATGTAATATAAACAATGACAGTTAAGTGCATGACACTGTCAGCACTGTGATGTTCACAACCACAAAACTGACTGGCTTCTTCATTTTACAAGGTTTCAAAAAGACCCCCTATGACAGCTGCATCCCATTCATCTTTTCTATGAAGTTAACCAGGATATTACATTTATTACATTACAAAATACTGTGGATGAAGGTTGCTTTGTACTTAATCAACATGCAGATAAGTGACATTTGTTACAATGTAAGCAATGGGTCATAAATTGGGACTAGCCTTGTTTATGCATATCTGCAAGTACACTGGGACATCTGTAAGTACATGTACTTAACAGGTGTAGGTTTGATGTAGAAATTCCTGGGAAGTATCTACAGCAGTGGCTCCCAACCTTTGTAAACTTGAGGCACCCCACTGTTGCCTCAAGTCCCTCCCCAGAAAAGGCCACCTCTTCGTTTTCACTTGTTTTTTGGACTACAGTAAAATACTAGGGCAATTCTTCTGTTACAGAGAACTCAGAAGGACCACAACAGGCAAGAATGTTTTTCACAGAGAAGTAGGGCTGGAAGGGACCTCCACCTAATCCAACCCCCTGCCTGAGGCAGGATCATCCCTATCCAAACCATCCCATTCAAACCATAATCTGAATTCTACATAAAACTACTCTCAACCCTGAAACAACACAGACCTCACACGTTAACCTGCCACAGGCAAAGCAGGAGACCCACAGCTACCAATGTCCTGCTTCTATTAAATGTCCTCAATATAGGCTCAAGAGATCCTGGGTAGAGCTCCCCCACTCCAATACAGAGGAAGACAACCTCCCACCCCCAGTCCCAATCAATCTGACCAGGGGGTAAAATTACTTCCTAACCCCAAATGTGTGATCACTTCAGTCAGACCCTGAGGGGAGGGGCAAGACTTTCTAGCCAGAAACCTCTGGCTTTGGTCCCAGAAGGCATATCAGTACAGCCCAAACCAAGTCCCCACCCTTGGCAGTAGCCAACACCCAATGCTTCGGAAGAAGGCTTAAAAATACCCTGACATACGTAGTGGAAAGAGGGGCAGAGGAGGACTACCATACGAAATACCTATAGTAGAACACAGGCATAGGTACACCTACATCAGGGGTGGGCACAATACAGTTTGTAGGCCAGATCCGGCCAGATGGTGTTTGGGAGAAGGACAGGTGGGTGGGGCCAGGGGGATCCTGGGATCTTGAGCCGGTGACAATGTGGGGCTGGGATAGAGCCACAACGCACTCAGTGCACGTCCCTGCCCACAGAATGGGGGTTCTGCCCTGGCCCTGCGCTGTCACCGCCCCAAGATCCCGGCGTCTCCACAGAGACCAGCCAGGAGCTATGCAGGCAGAGTGCTTCGCTGGTTGGATGAAATTGGAGCACCCTGTCCATGCAGCTCCCAGCTGGCCTCCATGGAGACCCCGGGACCTTGGGGTGGTGACAGCGTAGGGCAGGGACACAGCCCTGGTTCCGTGGGCAGGATTCTCCACCGAGCGCATCACAGCACTGTCCTTGCCCCGGCCCTGACCTTGCGTTGTCACTGTCCCAGGGTCTCTATGGAGCCTGGCCAGGAACCATGCAGGTAGGGTATGAGGCTGGGTGGGCAGGGAGCCATGTCCAGAGCTGAGATCTTGGCATGGTGAAAGCACAGGGCCCCAGCCAGGGCAGAGCCACCATTTGTTCTCTGTACATCTGTGCCAATGGAACCCATGCCCAGCACAGGAGCATGTGAGCAGCAGATTGCAGCTGTGCCCCAAGCCTTGGTCCCATGCTGTCACCGCCCCACACCACACCTCATGATCCTGGCCTCACCTGCCCCTCCTGCTCCTGAACACTGGTCCTAGTCTGCCTGCGGCCTCATCCCACATAAGGAATTTGATCGAGCTGTTGTGCAGGCAGGAGAGGCAGGGGTGCTGAC